GCCATTAATGCATTGATAATGTCGGTGCTTACAAAATTGAACTCACAGTTAGATTAGGAACGCGTTTTCTACACTTTGTTTTTTGGAGGGTTTGCGGACTTTTTCTGGAGAGAGAGAGAGAGAGAGAGATTTGAGATTTCACTGCCAAAAAAAAAAAAACATGAAAGGGCACAAACAAAACAATTAAGCAGTCAAGCTTGGCAATTCCTTCCTTCCTTCCCCATATGAATGATGAATGATATAGCAAAGCAAAACAAAGCATATCTACCTGGCACCGTGTTTGGACCAAAAACTGCATTTTTGCCCTTGAATTGGAGATATTGCTCTTTGAACAAGAATATGGCCAAAACCATGGCCATGCATCATCAAGCATAAACTGCAGTCAGCTGCATTATTATCTCCGATGGCCATTTATGTTGCTCAAATGAAGTTTCTTTTTTCTTGAAAGTTGTTCATTTGAGTTTACTTTCACGTGTCCAAATTTGGCAGCCATTGGAGAAGATTTGGATCCTCAAAGGGATAAAGACTGAAGCCTGTTCAAAGGGCTCTTCAATATCAGTCAGCTACAGTGTCCGAAGAGGGCCTTAGAGAGTGTCCGAAGAGGAGCCTGTTCACTCGTCAGTATCAGTCAGCTACATTCTGTCCGATAAGGGACTTATAGTGTCCGAATGAGTTTGCGTTCTTCATGAAACATGTTCGGACAGATGTCTACGTATATATATCGCATCCGAAGTTGGGAGCAGTTGGATAAGTTTAGCCTTCTCAGATTCATGTCCGAAGTGACGCCTGTTCAAAGGGCATTGTTGTATCAGTCATATGAATTCTGTCCGATAAGGGCCTTAGAGTGTCTGAATGAGTTTGTAGCCTTCTTGAAAGATGTTCGTACAGATGTCTACTACATCGTGTCCTAATATGGAAGCAATGGGATAAGTATTGCACCCTCAAATGGACAAACATTGAAGCTGGTTCAGGCTGCAGTCCAGTGACTGTCAGTCAGAGGGAATTCTTTCCGATAGGCCTCTTCCACTACTCGAATGAGGTCTCCTGTGAGGCGAGCTTTCAAAGCAAAACAATGTAATTATTTTCCCAATCGCAAAGCACACAATTGAGAGCTTGAAATGCAAATTATAGATCTAATGAATAATGTTTGAAGCAATTATTGTTGAAAAGAGTTTTGATACCATGTTAAGATTTCAGAGGGACGGACCCTTGGCCCACCACTAGCAACATCGATATTGTCCCCAACTTAACCACCTATTTAGCATGTGTTGGGTTTTATACAAAAGGCCTTGATGTTATTAAGAGTGGAACCATTTATTATATGAGACTTTATATTATGTTAAGTTTCCAATGTGGGACTCGTGTATTCTTCAACAATATATACCTCAAGCTTAACTCTTAATAATACTTTATGTACCCATAAGGATGGATTCACATAGAAACTAGAAGGGAAAACTTGAGGCGAAAAAACGGAATTACATCGTTTTCTATGTTTCAATGATACAGTTGTTGAAATGTAAATTATTTCCTGGTTTAAGTTCTTAGCTAGACAATTGTAAGGCTTAGATTTAATCCTAGAGTGTAGGTCTCATATGTCCTAGCTTATGCCAAGTGTACAGCTCATATTGCTGACACAAATTGTATGGCTGAGATCACATTCTCTGCCTTGTAAAAGGAATGTTTATGTTAGAATGAAATCAGTGTGTGCATTCTGATGATTGGAGCTAAGTAACAAACTATATATATATATATATATATATATATATATCTCTCTCTCTCTCTCTCTTACAACGTCTCTCTCATTTCTCTGCAACATTTTTCATACTCTTCTTCTCCAAGTAAACCTCCATTTTAAATCGCAACTATGATTTCTGGAGAATAAAGATGTGCACAATCTTCAAATCTCACAAGCTGTGGGATATGGTTGAAAATAGGTATGATCAACCTGTGAAGAAGGAAGAAGGAGAAGCTCTGACTGCAGCTAAAAAGCTTGCATTGGAAGAGAATGTTATGAAGGATGCTAAGGCATTGGGACTGATTCAAAATGCAGTCTCTGATGATATATTTCCCAGAATCGCTTGAAGCATGGGAAATTTTGTAGCAAAAGTTCAGAGGAGATAAGAATGTAAGATCTATAAAACTCCAAGCACAGAAGGGAATTTGAGTACACTCGTATGCAAGAGGGTGATTCCTTACCTGATTATATAACTAAGCTGCTTGAGTTAGTAAATCAAATGAAAGCATATGGTGAGGAGATTTCTGATCAAAGGATTGTGCAGCAACTTTTGATTAGTTTATCTAGGAAGTATGATTCTATTACTGAAGTAATAGAAGAAACAAAAGACACTGAGACTATAGGAGTTCAGGAGGTTATACTCTCTTTGAAATCTCATGAACAATGATTGCAAATGCATAATGAGAGAGTGACAGAAAAGGCATTTTCTTGTCTGAATGTGCATCGTAGAGAACAATCAAACACAGGTCAAGCAGGTGGTTCCAACTCTAAGAAAAAATGGAAATCACAGAAAGGGAAGAAGTAGGATACAAAGTCTGAAAATAATTCCAAGAAGGAAAATCAGATTGAATGAGCAAAGGTTCCTTGCAAAACCTATGACAAGTTGCACTATGGTGTTTGTTGGTTCAAAAGGAAAACCTAAATGTTACAAATGTGATAGGTTTGGTCATATAGCCAAAGAGATGCATTCTCAATTCAATAATGTCATGCTTTCTTACATGGTCAACTTCTTTATCCTAAAACTGATGATTAGTTGACCCATGGTTTCAAATATTTTCATGTTCTTTATAGAAAACATAAACAAAGATATCTATCTTTAATAGCAGTTGGATTTTAATATGGGCTAGTTGTCTTCTAACTAAATCAACAATGCATCTAGTTATACAATATAATATTAGTATTAATTTTTTTATTTTATTACAAGTGATAGTTTAAATTATAAGAGGGAGGGGGCCGGGGTTTCTCACACACACATTATCATAGTGTCCTATGTATTTGAACTTGAGACCATTGGTATTGCCATGAATAGATAAGATCTAGAGTCGACTCAAAATGAAAACAAACAATAAACATATAGAAAACTAGATAAATAAAAATAACAATGATGAGAACTTTGGTGGATTTTATTGGTACAATTTTTTATCAATCAGTTGAGGGAACTAATAATCTGATAAATTACGTTACTTAAAATTGAATTATCAGTTTTCAAGGAAAGCAAAACTTTATTCAAATTCATCTCAGAAAAAGGGCCATTCTATTTTATTTAGGACAACTCATTGATAAAGTCCAATCTAAGCAAAGCAAAAGTTGCACAAAATTCTGCATTTGATAAAGTCTTGAATCATGGACGTTGAACAGGTCAAAAGCTACTTTGGTCTCACTTTGGGAGGATTAGGGATGAAGGCGAAAGTTCTAATTTGACAAGTCAAAACTCGTTCACATAGTCACAACATGTGGTGGTGCCTCAAGAATTAAAAGTAAGGGGACCAATCTTTTTAATTATATAGAATAGAGGTCCCATTTGCATTTCATTGTTGTCAAATACTTAATCTATTCTCAGACCAAGAAACTTTAATCCTTGAAGTTCTCTAATCACTTGTTGTCAAGTGCTTAATCCAATTTGTATGTCCTTTCTTATTGATTGAGATTAAGAAGCTCTTTTTGGAGGCTCGAAATTGATATGAAAAATGGTACACTTGATGACAATAAGTTTACCCCTTAGGTCAATGCGTGGGAAACCAACACAACCTTAATCACGCATCGATTAGGAGCATACAACATCGTTCACACGAGTAAGCAGAGCATCATGTCTCTACCATCAAATTTATTGAGTCTAAGAACCCTAATTCTTGTTTTTGTTTGTTTAACCTAAGCATTGGAGGCCAAGTCGTCAAAGTTACCTCAAATGGCGAGGAAGGATGAGGTAACGAGTTATCTTCTAAACAAAAGGACTTATCGTGCCATGCATGCTTTTGACATAACTGCCACTCAAGCTTGACAAAAGATTAATTCTAAGACTTGCCCTATTTTTGAGCTTCCATTGCACTTGTGAGTGCGCACGAAAATATAAAATATTTCTTTAGAAATGCATGCAAGAGATGGAATGTGGAGAGCAGTATTAGTGTTACCCAATTATTATAGCCATTTAACTATCCAGCGCCCAACCAGCAACCCAGGCAAGCCCAAAGACTGATCCTGCCTGGTCAGCACTGGTGTTATGCTGACGTCAGCGAGCAAAAAAAAAATTCAAAAAAATTATAAAAAATTCATTTTTTTTTAAAAAAAAATACCAAAAAATTATGGATATTTTCCCTATAAATACATAACAATTTTATTCACTTTTCCTATAAATACATAACAATTTTATATTTTGTTGCATATATTTTTTTTTTCTTGCCCTTGACTTGCCTTAAACTTTGCCCTCATGGGTGGAACCACAAATGCAAAGGCTGACACTATTCACGTGAATAGTTGCAGCCCTTGCTTACCCTTGCCTTAGATTTAGCCCTTGTGGGTGGAGATGCTCTGAGTGCGCACGAAAGTACAAAATATTTCTTTAGAAATGCATGCAAGAGATGGAATGTGGAGAGCAGTATTAGTGTTACCCAATTATTATAGCCATTTAACTATAATCATTATTTTCCATAGATTTTTGGCCTTGCACATGTTAGACTTTCATAAATCATTATAATTAATGCTATGTTATAGACGTCGCATCAGCAATTTCAAGAATAACGACATTTAGACTCGTCAATAGCAGTTGTTGTGGAATTGACAGGTGAGAGAGAGAGAGAGAGAAAGAGAGGGCCCTAGTGAAGCTAAGCCACCATTAGAAAAGAGTCATAGGTGTGCACAGTTTCTATTAATAGTGCTTGTTTTCGTATTCTCTCTCTCTCTCTCTCTCTTTGCCCCTCTCCCCCTGTATGCTATTGATTTTTATGTTTGAAAGCCAAAACCATGGAACACCTACTGATATATCAAAACCAAGAAAATCCCATTTGGAGTATCATAAGTAATGGTAATAGTTTTATACTTTTAAGAGGTTTTGAGTGTTTTTGGTATCACTAACTGAAGAAAACTATGAGTCTATAAGCTTTCAAGTATATATCATGATTCATGAGATAGTATTTGTTCATGTTGTTATCACTGCTACGTTTTACCATTTGCACGACGAAAGTTTGCGCGACGAAGAATAATACGTCGCGCAAAACATACTGGCGCGACGAAAGAAATTTTTCGTCTCGCAAACCACTGACAATTTGCGCGACCAAATGTTTCGTCGCACGAAATGTCTTTGCGCGACCAAACAACTCGTCGTCGCGCAAACAGAGTTAAAAAGAGCGGGGGAAATTTTTTTGGCGCGAAACATTTGCGCAACGAGAAATATCGTCGCTTAAGACAACCTTGCGCGACGGTAATCTGATTCGTCGCACAAAAAGGGACAGAACCCAGTGGGTCCCTTTATTTGGCGGTAAAAACTTGTGCGAAGAAATTCTTCGTCGCAAAAGACAACTTAGCGCGACAGGAAGAAGTTTCGTCGCGTAAAAGAACAAGGGATATTTTATTTTTGGCGCCAAAATTACCTGGTTGGGATTTTTTTTTTTTTTGCGCGACGTACATGTTGTTCGTCGCGTAAAGTTCCAAGTTTGCGCGACGAATATCTTGGTTTTGCGCGACGATATTGCCCGACGAAAGTTTGCGCGACGGAAGATACCAGCGTCGCGCAAAAGTTAGATGTCGGCAGGTGATTGCGCGACGGACGATTTAGTTTTTTGCGACGGAAGTTTGCGCGACGAACTTATGTATTCGTCGCGCAAAGTCCTTCTTCTTCATATTAGAATTCTGCCATTGCAGAGGCAGAATGCAAAAACAAAGCATTCTGACTCTGCCTCTCTCTCAACCTCTCTGCCGCTGCTGGGACTTCAATACATTGATTGTGTAAATATTTTTCGTCATTAGTTTAAAAGTATTAATTTAAGTTCGTACTAAGGTTTTTTATTTTGTTTTCATTAGGGATATTTGTAATTAGCGATTGGTGGAGAACGATTGAGAAGGTATTTTATTCGTTTTATATATTAATAATGTTAATTTGTTATGTTTAAAATTTTCTTGTGAAATTATATTTATGTTATGTTGTTAAATTGTGTGTAACGTAGCACAATCTGTTGTGATGTACGAAGTTAATTGAAATTAACTTCGTGCTTTTATTTTTATGTTTAGTAACACTTAGTTTCCCGTTCGAGATTAGTTGGATTTCGTGCATGGATGCGTAATGCATGACTGCGGTCCAATTAATTCTTGAATTGTCCCATTATTTGGACAGTTTGGTAATGCATAGTGTTGTCACGTAATCTATGGCTACAGGATTAGGTTTCGATTGTGGATATTTTGTTGTCATCTCGGTACGTTCTTCGGGGGGTACATAGGTATTTATACCTATGGCCACCTCAAGAACTGTAGCGAGATGCTGGCGAAATTCATCCACGTCGAAATCTAATCTCATGTAGTCGTAGGTTACGTGGCAGGAGTATGCATTCCTGAATGGGATAGGACCCTTACCGGAGGCATAAGGTGACATTATAACTTCGTATGAAGTTGTTGTGATTGTTGTGTTGTGATTCTGGTTTCAGGAATTATGGACAGAAGGTGGATACAAAACCCGAACAGATGCGCAGACGAATACTTGGATGGAATCGAGGATTTTATTGAGTTTGCACGTAGACACAACCCGGGTGCAACTAGAATCCGTTGTCCTTGTAGGAGGTGCAACAACACGTTATGGGAGACAATTGAAAATGTTGGATTTCATTTAGTAAGGAATGGAATGATTGAGACATATAGCATTTGGAACCTTCACGGGGAACAATTAGAGCATGCTTCGTCTTCAAATGCCACAAGAGTGGACAATGTTCAACCAATTGTGGATGCTAATGATCAAGTCATGGATATTATACAGGATGTTTTTCCATTTGCATTGACCAACATGAATCAAGAAGAGCAAGATGATGTGCCTACACCAATAGACAGTGCGGAGTTTGAACAATATGAAAAATTGTTAAAAAAATGCCAACCAAGAGTTATACCCGGGGTGCGAGAGT